GTTTCAATTGCACTGTATGTGCGTGCCCGCACGTGGTATTTTGTGGAAGAGCCACACTCAAGGGGCCAAAGAGCTGCATATGGCTCGGGAGCAGCAGTTTGCCTACTACTGCCCTAACCTGATAATCTTTTCCTATTTACCAAACCTTATCTTTGATATGTATATCTGCTTTTTTAAAAGGCCAATGGGTTTTCCAGTAAATAAAAAGTCATGGGTCCAGACATTCAGAAAACTTAGTCACTAGAGCTAAGTTTTCATCTGGCTCCCCTAAAATGCCTTCCAAATTTATATTTCTTGTCTAGTCTCTATCCATTTATGCACAGCCCTTCTCCAGATTCCTGAACCCTTGCTGCGAAAAGACTGCCGCAAGGTAGATAAATAATGCAATGATTATTAGTCAGCCATAAAATGGATTGAAATTCTGATACATGCTACAACATAGAAACATGCTAAGTGAAATAAGCCAGACACATATTGTATGATTCCATTTTTTACTAGGCACCTAAAGTAGTCAAATATAGAAAGACAGAAAGTAGATTAAAGGTTACCAAGGGTGGGGGGAAAAGATGGGGGATCAGGAATTATTGTTTAAATGAGGACAAATTTTCTATTTAGATGATGAAAAAGTTCTAGCAATGGTTGCACAACATTGTGAATGTAGTTAATGACACTGAATTATACACTTAAAACGGTTAAAATGATAAATTATATATTATTTATATTTTACCACAATAAAACATTTTTTCAGTTACTCAACTCCTCAGGGAAAAAAAAGCAAACAAAACCATATCACTCCCGATTACACAAGGTTTCCACAAGCTGAGAGAGAAAACATATGCAATAGAGTCAGATGGATTTCTGATTCCTGCAATCATGCACCAGATTTTCAGACCAAAATACATACAAACTCCTTGAAAACATCAATCAACTAGTAACTAAGATCTAAGGGGAAATGGGAACCCAGAGAGGTGGCAGAACATCAAAGCATCTAAGTTGCTTTCACACTGAGGGCTGTTGCTAAAATGGGCCAGGGAGGTCGGGAAACAGAAACCAAGGCCTGGGTCTCATCAAGATGGGGAACCTCACAGGACACCTTTCCACATTCAGGCCTATACTTGGGCCTAAATCCATTCTCTTCCCAACATGCACACACACCCCAGGGCTCACAGGGAAAACTACTGAGACTGCTTGCAAGGCAGGGAGGCAAGAAGGAAAAGGAAAGGAAACCACATAACCTTGGCCATGGGCCCCAGAATGGATTTGTAGCCTAGATTCACAAAGAAACTCAAGCTAAGGCTTGGGTATAAAGTGGTTCCATATGGGCCCAGCCTACTTGGCTTGCACAGGATCAATAAATGTTAGCAACCACCACTGCCTCCCCATAACCACCTCTATCTACCCCCCCATCTCTGCCTCCTCTCTGCCTTTCCTGTCCTCCACCCACACTGGCTTCCTCCAGGTTCCTGGAAGCCCCCAGGATCTCCTACCTCTGGCCTTTCTCTTAGGTTCTACAATCTCTCAGTGACCAGCTCACTCCTACTCATCCTTTAGACATGATGCCAATGGCATTTCCTCAGGGAAGTTTACTCTGACTTGAATCTAAACCAAATCCCTTTGTAAATATAACCTTTCAAGCCTTTGTTCCTTTCTTTCAGAGCATTTAAACCAGTTTTAAATTACACGTTTATTAGTGTGATTATTTTATTAATATCCCTCATTAGCAGGAAATATATTTGGTAATACTCATCATAAACTCCATTGATTTACCTTGTGTGCTTTATCAAGCACTGATGAAAAATGTAAAGAAGTGTAGAAGAAGATTGTAGCTGGAGTAATATCAAATTTTGCCATATGACTAACATTAGATTCTGATTATAAACGAAACACTATGCAAAATACTTCAAACACATTATCTCATTTAACTCTTATTTTAAAAAACTGTGAAGAAAACTGAATATTACAGATGAAAAAACTGAAGTCCTATAAAGTTCAAGAATTTTTATTTGACTTCAATTGAGAAATGTGGGGTTTGAACTCAGGTCTCTCTGAACCCAGCACACTCTTAAATCCTTGCTTTGGTCTCATCCTAGAGCTCCACTTCCCCCAGTGCTGCTCTGAGGCAGCAGTGGCCACTAAGAACTGACTGTATGGTTGGCTAGGAATAAGGGAACATCAGAAGTCCTCTTACTCATGTTCTTCCCAATTCAAGGAAACAAATTTAGAGTTCCCCAAGCACAGAATTCCATAATATAAAGGCAGTTTTGTAACCAATCAAGGAGTCTAGACTGCCTGTCACTACTTAAGCCAATTAAGCAGAGACAGGGTTGAATCATATATGAGCATTTATTACAATACTGCGGCAGCATGGGAGAGCAGCAGGTCATCCTCAAAAATCTGCTCCGCACCCCACCATAAGCCAGATGCTTATAGAGGGTAGAAGGACAAAGATTACATGGGGAAGTAGGCAAGAGGGTATGCCAGAGAGCAGTTTACAGGTCTTCCGAGGATTAGTGATATGCAAAGTGCTGATGGTCTCCAAAGGGCTGGTGATTCTGGTTTCTGCAATAGGGTTGTTAATCTTCCCATGATAATAGGCAGCTCTGGTGGGAAGGATGAGCTGCATTTCCAGGTGAACTCCCAGCCAGGTTAGAATGTGCCTTCTTTAATCAGAACAAAACAATTACTGTTAATAGAGCATAATTATATTTCTTACAATTCCAGGTGACCCCCACTATTCCATTTCTGCCTCTATCAGTCTGACAAGAATCTGGATCTTCTGGGGAAACCCAGTTCCACAAAGCATCCTAACACCTGCCACCTCACAGAGGTCCTGCCATGACTTTGGTGATGGAGCCACCTGCTCATATCGCCCACGATCTGCTTCACTTCATGATGACTTTTCTATTGTCCTCCACTCACAGGCAGTTCCTGAGTGTCTAAAAGATCACTGAAGAAGCTGATAATGATGGGGAAAATAAGACATTTGGGGATGGGGCTAGCTATCTGAATCTGTGCCAGTCAGTCACCTAATGTACATTCTTGATAGCCTATAATTAAGTCACTGCTCCTTTCTTCACAATCTGGTCTTGCAAAACCTGTTTACCTAAGTACTCCCATTTTACAGAGGCCATAAACCACAAACAATACACACCCCCAGGAGGGGGTTATCAGTGCTGGCACCAGGCCAGGCCTTCAGAGTGGCCTCACAGCCCCACCCCAACACATGGGTTTTTAGCAAAGCTTGCAAAGGGTCTGGAAGTCCCATCCATATTTGGGGGACAAAGAAACCAAAAGTTATAAAGGGAGAGTTTCCTCCATATTGGCTTGCTCAAGATTTGGAGAGAAACAGTCTCCCCTGAGTTATATGCAAAACATGAAAATAAATGGGTTTTTCCTGTACCTCCAATACTCCTGTGTATTTTTTCGGTCTCCTGGTAAATTTGTAACAACACTAGAGAAAGTTATTTTTCAGTGGACCATGGTTAAAAATAAATGATCTGTCAACCTTAGGACAAAAAAACAGGTTTAAATTTTTGCCATTGTCCCCAGATCCAAAAGTACTGTTTCCTAAGTTCTTGAAGAGAACTTCAGCTTAGTCTACTTTGGAACTGGTGTACAGTTTCCATTTTGTTTTTTGGAAGGCCTTCCTGTATTTATGGCCAAGTTGTTTTCAACCTCATTCACCCAGGGAGCAGTCTTCACGTTCGGTGCCCAGCCTAGAGATGTACACAGGGACACCCTTCAAATCTCTCTGGGTCAAAAGATGAGGGTGACAACCATAAGAGTTTCTACTATTGTTTTCTGGGACACCAAGATTAATCATTATATACAAGAAAAAAGTTAAAACAGTAGGAGCCTGATAATTTATATTTTGAACATCTAACTAGATCATGAGTGTATAGCTATTTCATTTTAAATTGACATAAATTAAGTTTACTTTCTGCAAAGAGGTATTTCCAACTCTTACTTTAAGCTTAAGGGAATTAAAACATTAGACATACATATAAACACATACATGAACACACACACACACACACACACACACACACATCCCAGCCATGTTTTTACCCAACTTAATGAGCAGAGTAGACAAATCCACCTAGCAGGTAATTTACCATTAACAGTTGGACTTCCTCAATCTAGCCACAATAAATTGTGAACCAGTAAAAGTAATTAAGTTAAGAGGATGATATTACCAGTGCTTACTGTTTATTTCCTATTATCTGGAAGCACAATTATTTTCAATAAAATACAAACATTTTCTAAGAGAAAAACTCGAAGCAGCAGCTCAGCTAATAAAATAGTACTGTTAAAGTTTCAAGCAGATTTAGCTACTTGGAAACAGCGACCAAGTGCCTTTTATTGATGACTGGTGTGCCAACTCCAAAACCATGCAGATTTATCACTCTGTTCAGATGAAATGAAGGGAAACAGGACATTATCCTGACAAATAACTTGTACATTCACCAAATGAAAGACGTTTATCTCCTTCCCTTTGAATGTCATACAAATTGCAGTCATTTGTAAAATTAGTTGAAAGTCTGTGTCCAATACCCCAACCCAAAGCAACGTAGGACAAGCTGTTGAAACTCTTATGGCAGTATGAAGTAGATCAATAATGTCACACGTACTCTGGTGCCCTAAGCACAGTAAAAGCTCATCCAAAAATTACTGAGGAAGAGTTTAAATAGCCCCCACTGCCTATTTTAAATTATAGAAATTGAGCTTTTAGAAACAGGTAAGTTGTTGGAGATTAGCCTCAGACATAATATATCTGTCATATGGGGAATTTTTCTTCCTAATGATATGTTTTGAAAAAAGTAATAGTACACAACTTTAAAAAAATTTAGATTCCTTATATTTCAACTGTAATTTAAAGATTCCTAATATTACCATTGTATCTCCTTTAACCAGCCATCAAATACAGCAGTTAAGAATCCAATAGCTTGAGTTTCAAGATAGTGTCTTTTATGAAAAAGAAAAATAATAATTATAGGAACACTGATGCCTAATGGGGGTAAAAATGCAGTTTCTGAAGCTTATAAGGTTAATCCTAGCTCCTTCTACCATAAAGAAGAATAAATTTTGGGCTCACATAAGAAGAGAAGAAGCAGGTGGAGTTGGGGGAGGATAAATTATAATAATAATAATAAACTGTATACAGGGCTAAAGTCTACAGGAAACTGAGCATTTACAATTGGAATGATTGATGAAAGAGTGAAACATATATTGTTTCTCATTCAACTTTCACTGACTAGCATTCACTGGATGATTCTTGCCTGGATCACTTATTACTTTCATGGTTGCTATTCTCTTCTGTATTTTTGTCCTTTTATTGATACTTAATTTCTTAGATTTATTTAAATATTAGGAAAATTCGCCCTTTTTCTATAACAGAGTCTCTACTTCCTTCCTTTTGTGTCATTCTTGATTCCCTTGCCCCCTGGATTTTTTTTCTGTTTTATCTAAATTTTCCAACATATTGGCATATTTCCATAAATCCTCTTATTACCTTTTAGATATCTCTAGAGTCTGTGATGATGTCCACCTCTTTTTTATTCTTTATTAAAATATTTATTATTGCTTTCAAAGTGGGGGAGAGAGAGAGAGAAGTATCAATGATGAGAGAGAGAGTCTTGGATCAGCTGCTTCCTGCACACCCCACACTGGGGATCGAGCCTGCCACCGAGCATGTGCCCTGACCAGAAATTGAACCATCAGGATTTCATTTTGGACCTATTGAGGCACCACAGGGTAAAAATGTCACCATCCCTCCACTCCCTACTCAAAAATGCAGAAATATCTTCTTTTTTTAATTTTTTAATACATTTTTATTGTTATAGTATTACAGATATCTCTCATTTTCCTCCCTTTCTCTCCCCTCCTCCCAGCCCCTACTCACCCACCCCATGTCTTCATTACCCTATCTCCCATGACCGTGGGCTATGCCTATAAGTATTAGTTTATCTCTTCTCATCTCCCGAAACCCACATCGAGGTCTGTCAGTCTGTTCCATACCTCCATGCTTCAGATATTATTTTGTTGGTCAAGTCATTCTGTTCATTAGATTCCACAAATAAGTGAGATCATGTTATATTTGTCTTTCTCAGATTGACTTATTTCACTTAGCATAATATTTTCCAGGTCCATCCATGCTGTCCCAAAGAGTAACAATGGAATACTATACAGCTGTTAAAAAACAGGAGTGGAGGGAGGAGACTCATAGACTCTTTTTTTCTTTTTTTAATTTAAATTCTTTATTGTTTAAACTATTACATAAGTCTCCTTTTCCTCCCACTGACCATTCCCCAGCCACCCCCTAACCCCCAGCACATGCCCACACCCTGCCCCTGTCTGTGTCCATTGGTTATGTTCATATGGTGCGCAGCAGGTATAGCTTCTTTTATCTCCCTTCTTTTTTTATTTTTTTTAATATATTTTAATGATTTTTTACAGAAAGGAAGAAAGAGAGGGATAGAAAGTTAGAAACACCGATGAGAGAGAATCATCGATCAGCTGCCTTTTGCACACCCCTTACTGGGGATGTGCCCGCAACCAAGGTACATGCCCTTAACCGGAATCAAACTTGGGACCTTTCAGTCCACAGGCCGATGCTCTATCCACTGAGCCAAACCAGTTTTGGCTTATCTCCCTTCTAACTGCCTGCTTAAACTACTGACCCACAGGCGCAGTTGATCAAGGTCTGACTGAAAAATGGATCTTGAAAGAACTGACTTCGTTCTGTTCCCTCGCCCTCTATCTGAACCATAGGCACTTCATTTTATTCCCATAAATTATATTAGGACTGCCTTTCAGGCACAGATGGTCCATTGACCTGTTAATTCCAGGTTATAACTAAACTAGATAAGTAACTATGCCATTTCTAGCTTCTATAAATATGCTGGCTTGAATAATGGTAAAATAAGGGAGGGGGCTGGAAATCTGAGGCTGTAATGGAAATCTAGTGTACGTTCTTATTGGTCTATGGTCTGGTCACTGCTCCCTCTTAAATCATCTATCTTGCAGGACCTGTTTGCTTAAGCATTATTACCATATTGAAAGGCCATCCTATGTATTAAAAGAGTAATATGCAAATTAACCATCACTCCGCTGCACCAACAAGCCATGCCCACCAACCAATCAGAGTAAGTATGAAAATTAACCCAGCAAAGATGGCTGCAGCCATAGAGAAAGCAGGAAGGAGTCTTGAGTTTCCCAGGTGATAGAGGAAGCCAAGCTTTCCACACACCCTGGCTGGCCCACGCCTCCACTTAAGGCTACAAAGTTTCAATTGCAGAAGGTAAATAAATTCCAGATACCAGGGCCTTCACTTGGGTCACCAGAGGATTTGGCCAGCTTGCAAACCACCACAGGCCCCTTGCCCAGACTGCCCCACACCCCAAGGGAACCCCCACCCTGATCCGGGACACCCTTCAGGGCAAACCAGCTGGCCCCCACCCATGCACCAGGCCTCTATCCTATCTAATAAAAGAGTAATATGCAGATTGACCATCACTTCAACTCACAAGATGGCTGCCCCATGTGGACACAAGATGGCCACCACAAGATGGCCAGCAGGGGAGAGCAGTTGGGAGAGACCAGGCCTGTAAAGGAGGGCAGTTGGGGGCTATCAAGCCTACATGGGAGGGCAGTTAGGGGTGACCAGGCCAGCAGAGGAGGGAATTTGGGGGCAAATAGGCTGGCAGGGGAGCAGTTAGACATCAATCAGGTTGGCAGGGGAGTGGTTAGAGGGTAATCAGGCTGGTAGGCAGAAGCGATTAGGGGCAATGAGGAAGGCAGGCAGGCAATCAGGAAGGCAGGCAGGCAAACAGTTGGGAGCCAGCAGTCCTGGTGGGATCGGGTCTAAACGGACTGTCTGACATCCCTCAAAGGGTCCCAGATTGGAGAGGGTGCAGGTTGGGCTGAGGGATACCCCTGCCACTTTCTCTCCCCCTCCTCCCCCCTGTGCATGAATTTCGTGCACCAGGCCTCTAGTAAACTATAATACTCCCAGATGGAGTTGTCAGGGCTGGCGCCAGGCCAGGCCTTGAGATAGAGTCTCACAGCACCAATCCTAGAGTGTTTTTTTTTTTTTTTGGTTTTGTTTTGTTTTGCTCTTTTTGCCTTTATAAGCTTACTCCTAACCTCATTTCAGGGCCACAAGGTGTGAGTGGTGATAGCCCTTTGAGGTCACTGTCGTCTTTGAAATGAAAGCTCCAAAATTCGACCGTCTGCCTGTGGCATCTTCTATTGGATTCACTGAATTTCTTTTTTTAATATATTTTATCGGGTTTTTTACAGGGAGGAAGGGAGAGGGATAGAGAGTTAGAAACATTGATCAGCTGCCTTCTGCACATCCCCCACTGGGTATGTGCCCTCAACCAAGGTACATGCCCTTGACCAGAATCGAACTTGGGATCCTTGAGTCCAAGGGCCTACAGTCTATCCACTGAGCCAAACCAGCTAAGGCTGGACTCGCTGAATTTCAAGATAACATGACCACTATTGGACCTTCCTAGGTGGTGGCAATAAGCAGTGTGCCCTCTTGGCCCCACGGAACAAAGGGCAAACATAATTCCCAGGCAACACAGCTGCAAAAGGAATTCACCCAAACCTGAAATGAAAAATTCCGCATGCCTGCCTTTTTTGGGAAAGCCCCTCTTTTTGCTCTGGCCCACTTTATCCCCAGCTTACAAAAGCAGCCAAGCAGAGCCAGCCCCTGAGCCAGCGCAGAGCCTTTCCTCTCCTCTGTGCTGCCGCCCTTATGCTCCAGCATAAGCTTAATAAAACCTGAAAGAAAATATCTCTGGGGTTTCCTCTCAATTTCTATCTTGGGGAACCCAAGAAACCCAACCTGGTAACACTATGCATTATTTAAAAGTGTATTGCTTAATTTCCAAACATATGTGACTTCTCTAGGTTTTGATACTCTTTTTTTCTTGCTTAATTCCACTACTCTGTATTGTTTTTATCTGCTAAAAATTGTTGAAATTTTATTGCGCAGCCTGTGGTCAACTTTGGTAAATGTTTCATATGCACTTTAAATAGATATGCATTCTAATATTGTTGGGTGCCATGTTTAAATGTTTATCTCTTGCCAATATTTTGTAAGGATGTTCTATTATTTATTGAGAGGTGTGTTAAAATTTCCCACCTGGTTGTAAATATGTTTACTTTTTCTTTCAGTCCTGCCACTTTTAGTTCTACATTTTTTGAGGCTATGTAAAAAGGTGCATACAATTTAGAATTATTGTGTCTTACTAACATGAAATGTCCTTTTTTGTCTCTCATAATGCTCTTTTGCCTTAAAGACTAACAGCTTTCTTTTGTGAATGCTTACATGATATATATTTTCCATTCTCTTTAAACTTCCTATATGTTTATATTTAGGACAGTATATTTTTAAGTTTTGGTTTGGCTTTGTCCAGTGCAATAAAGTTTTAAGTAAAGCACTTAGTTTGTTTACATTATATATATTATATTTATGTTTGGATCTTACTATTTGTTTTATTTTATATTTATTTCACCCATCCTACAGTACTGTTTCTCCTCCCTCTTTTTTTTTTATCTTTATTGTTAAAAGTACTATATGTGTCTCATATAACCTTTATGTTCTTTTTTCTTTTCTTTTAGGAAGTGGCCAATTTACCATTTTTTAATTGTTGATATTATTGGGGATGTCCTGCATTTCCCCCCTTTTTATACAATTCCACCCAGTCCCAGCTTCCCTGGGCCTTCACCACACTGTTGTCTGTGTTCATGGCCTATGCAAATGTTTTTTAGCTAATCTCTTCACCTTCTTTTATCCATTACCCACTACCACACTCCACTCTATGACCTCTCAGTCTGTTCCATGTATCCACACCATTGGTTTTATTTTGTTGGTCAGTTAATAAATAAATTAGATTCCACATAGAAGTGAAATAATATGGTATTTGTCTTTTCTCTGACTGAGCTATTTTGCTTAGCATAATCATCTTCAGGCCCATCCATTCTCTTGCAAAGGGTAAAAGTTCCTTCTTTTCTATATTCACATAGTATTCCATGGTGTAAATATACCACAGCTTTTTCATCCACTCATCTACTGATGGGCACTTGGGCTGTTTCCAGATCTTTGCTATTGTAAATAATGCTGCTAAGAACATAGTGTGCATATAATCTTTCTGATTGGTGTTTCAGGATTCTTAGGATATAATCCCAGAAGCGGGATTTCTGGGTCAAAGGATAGTTCCATTTTTTATTTTTTGAGGAAACTCCATACTGTTTCCATAGTGGCTGCACCAGTCTGCATTCCCACCAGCAGTGCCCTAGGGTTCCATTTTCTCCAAATCCTTCCCAGCACTAGTTGCTTGTTGACTAATTGCTACATAGCCATTCTGACAGGTGTGAGGTGACACCTCATTGTAATTTTAATATGCATCTCTCTGAAAATTAGTGATGTTGAACAGTTTTCATATGTCTATTGGCCATTTGTATGTCCTCTTTGGAGAAGTATCTATTCAGGTCCTTTGCCCATTTTTTATTGGATTGTTTGTCTTCCTGGTGTTGAGTTGTATAAGTTCTATGTATATTTTGGAAATTAAACCCTTATCAGATGTATCATTGGCAAATGGGTTCCCTTTTCATTTTGTTGATGATTTCTTTTGCAGTGCAGAAGCTTTTTAGTTTGATGTAGTTTCATTTGCTTATTTTTTCCCTTTATTTCCCTGGCCCTAGGAGATATAACATCAAAACTGTTGCTACGAGAAATGTCTGAAATTTTATTGCCTGTTTCTTTCTAGGAGTTTTGTGGGTTCGTGACTTACATTTGTCTTTTATCAATTTTGAGTTTACTTTTGTGTATAGTGTAAGTTGGTGGTCTAGTTCCATTTTTCTGCATGTATTTGTCCAATTTTTCTAACACCATTTATTGAAGAGACTGTCTTTACTCCTTGCATGTGCTTGACTCTTTTTTAAAAAAATATTTTTTATTGATTTTTTACAGAGAGGAAGGGAGAGGAATAGAGAGCTAGAAATATCGATGAGAGAGAAACATCAACCAGCTGCTTCCTGCACAACCCCCACAGGGGATGTGCCTGCAACCAATGTACATGTCCTTGACTGGAATCGAACCTGAGACCTTTCAGTCCACAGGCCGACACTCTATCCACTTAGCCAAACTGGTTTCAACTGTGCTTGACTTTTATGTCAAATATTAATTGACCAAGAAGGTGTGGGTTGATTTCTGATCTCTCTGCTCTGTTCCATTGATCTATATGCCTGTTTTTGTGCTAGTACCAGGATGTTTTTTGTTTCTTTGTTTTTTAATATATATTTTTGTTGATTTCAGAGAGTAAGGGAGAGGGAGAGAGAAACATCAATGATGAGAGAGAATCATTGATTGGCTGCCTCCTGTATGCCACACACCCCCCCCCCCCCCCCCCCCCCCCCCCCCCCCCCCCGACTGGCATGTGCCCTTGACCAGAATCAAACCCAGGACCCTTCAGTCCACAGGTAGACACTCTATCCACTGAGCCAAACCAGTTAGGGGTACCAGGGTGTTTTGATTACTGTGGCTTTGTAGTATAATTTGATAACTGGTATTGTGATCCCTCAATTTTGTTCTTCTGTTTCAAGACTGCTTTGGCTATTCATGTTCTTTTGGTTCCATATAAAGTTTTGGAATATTTATTCTATATCTGTGAAATATGCCATTGGTATTTTAATAGGCATTGCATTGAATCTATAGCTTCCTTTGGGTAATATGGACATTTTAATAATGTTAATTCTTCCAATTCATGAACATTGTATATGCTTCCACTTGTTTGTATCTCCATCAGTTTTCTTCAATGTCCTATAGTTTTCCAAATATAGGTCTTTTACCTCCTTAGTTAAGTTTGTACCGATCACTTTATATGTTTGTTGTTGTTGTTGCAATAATAAATGGGGTGGTTTCCTTGGTTTCTCTTTCTGACAGTTCATTATTGGTTTACTTAAAAGGCACTTAGCTCTAACTAGTTTGGCTCAGTGGACAGAGTGTCAGCCCACAGACTGAAGAAAACACTGATTTCTGCATATTCATTCTGTATACTGCTAGTTTAACAAATTCGTTTATTAGATCTAGTAGCTTCTAGTGGAGTTTTTAGGGTTTTCTATGTATAATATTATGTCATTTGCAAATAACACAGTTTTACTTCTTCCTTTCTAGTTTGGATGCCTTTTATATTTTTTTATCTGATCTCTGTGGCTATGACTCTTCCAGCACTAAGCTGATAAGAGTGGTGAAAGCAGACATCTATCTTATTTCTGTTCTTAAGGGAAATGCTTTTAGTTTTTGTCCATTGTGTATGATATTGGTTGTAGGTTCTTCATATATGGCCTCTATTATGTTGAGATATGATCCCTTCATTTCCACTTTGCTGAGAGTTTTTATCATAAACTAAAGGCCCTGTGCACAAAATACATGCATGGGCAGGGTTCCTAGGTCTGGCCTGCAATCAGGGCTGATCTTCCCTGGCTGCTGGCAGCCACCCCCCTCCCACCCCTACCCTCCCACCATCCTACCCCCCCATGTGTGAGGCAACTGGGCGGGGGGCGATCGGGGCCCACTCACTCACACCTGTCTTGGCCTAGTGCCGCTCCAAGTCCGCTGCCACCCACCCCTGGTTCCCATTTCCCATCTGGCAACTGGAAACTGCAGGCCAGGGGGAAGGGCCAAGAGGTTAGCCCTTTCCTCCCACTCGCTGGCCCCAGCCCCCCCGGCCACTGGTTGCCCTCTGGGTGTGGGGTGACCAGCAGGGTTATTGGGTCCCGCTCATTCACACCCACCTTGGCCTAGCACCGCCCACATCCACTGCCACCCACCCGTGTCCCGTCAGGCGATTGGGAAAAGACTGAGAGGTTGGTCTGCAGGCCCCAGTCAAGCAATTGGGGCCTGTGGGCTGGGGGCATATTTTGTTGGCATATGCAAGTAGTTGTACATAGTATTTACTTACAATTCTTTGTATTTCAGTGATGTCAGTTGTTACTCCTCCTTTTTAATTTCTGATTTATTTATTTGGTTCCTCTCTCTTTGTTTCTTGATGAATCTGGCTAAAGGCTCATCAATGTTTTCAAAGA